AATGAAATGGTCTTTGACTTAGAAATGATGAGTAGTGTGGAAGTGATGGCCTCTTATATACCGTAATCTCGAGGAGTGGTTCTGTCCTACAATTGTGGCCAAAACGAGAGTAATTGAAAGGAAGTGGTCTAAAGAAAGTTGTTTTTTAGGGACAGTTTCACTTTTGGGCGAATCTATGTCTTTGTTGTTTATAATATATGGATCATCAATAAAACTGGACTATATTTTAAATTCTATGGGAATTAACCTTAAAAATAGGTTTTTCTTATATGGTTTGTAAGATGTTTAACATTAGGTTATATAACGGAAACTAGTTTTTTGGGCAAATTTGTAGACATGTCTGGGATGTCTTCAGAGTAGATGTTATATCAGGTCAACAGATAACACCTATTTGTAAAGATAATTATAAATATATAATTAGTTTCTTGATAAATTAGCAGTTTTTAAATCATATCTAAAATAGTCACCAAACTTTCCCATCTTTTGCAGCTATAATTAGAGATATTTTATCAGTTTTTAAAAGTTTATTTTAAAGTTTTATCTAAAATACTGTTATTGTGCTCTACATTGAAATTAATTTATTTTATACTAAATCTTAAACATTTTGTTACTTTATGGATAAGTTCCGTATAATCTTATTATAGAAGTCGTTTGTATTAATACTTGTCTACAAATCAAAACAACTATCCTTTAAATAGATTTGTTTTTATATTTTGAATATATTTATCGTCCAAAATATAATTTCAAGATTATTCTAATTTAAAAATACATTTATGCTTTATTAAGGTTATTTAAAATGAATTATGCCCATAATAATTGCACAGGATTTACAAACTAACGTTATTATATTCAATATAAAGTACAGTTTATGTATTATTTAACATAAGGAGAATACCCAACAAACTTTTCACTTTAGATGATTTCTCTGCAATTATCTTCAATTATAAAACACTAATTTGCAAAACTATTAATTATGTAATTTTCAAGTCAACTAACCTTCAGTTAACTTTAAAATAATGATAATTAATAAATTAATTATGATAAAAATTATAATAAAGTTCTTGAGATGAATGCAAAGCTTATGCTAAAGAATATACATTTCTACCATAATAAGGATCATTGTATCACTCCTTTAGCACCTTATGCTTCACGTGTGGTGCGGAACAAACATCTGCTTCATGTGCTGCACAACCAATACATTCAAAGTATCATTTTATTAATGNTTCTTGAGATGAATGCAAAGCTTATGCTAAAGAATATACATTTCTACCATAATAAGGATCATTGTATCACTCCTTTAGCACCTTATGCTTCACGTGTGGTGCGGAACAAACATCTGCTTCATGTGCTTCACAACCAATACATTCAAAGTATCATTTTATTAATGACTCTTCACTTCTTTATACCGTACTTTTCAGTATTTATTTGCAACTTTAACCCAATCTTATTACATAATGAATTGTATGAAATTATATACACTTAAATATTCTATATTTAAAGATAATATACAGTACTAGTATTAATATAAAATAAGAAGGTAATTTATGATTTTGTTATTACATTTTTGACCTCAATTGTTGCAAATTTTAGGCAGAAAGTAATAGTTACATACGGGTCAGCCATTCTGGATGGACGAGTGGGCCAACACCGGCCACATTACATATTGCTTGACAAGCGAGAGGATAGGGTGTCCCTCAGACCCATAGTTTTGTTGTGTTTGATATGAGTACTGGACAGACAGTGAGAGCTCGGACTCGATGTCAGTATTAAAACAATAATTATAATTATAAAAGAGTGCATATTTTTTAACTACAATTCAGCATTGAATAATGTGGTTTATAGAATTGTTCGGTTGTGGTTAACGTATAGCATCGCTGTGTGTGAGTTGTTTCACACCTTGATTACTTAAACGGGATAGTTTTATGGTCAAGAAGATAAACATTTCAATGTTTATGCTATGAGATGTGTTTATAAGTAAAATATTTACACGTGTTTCGGTTTAAATGTTTACAATTTACTTTACTACAGTATTAGCATAAGTTTAAGAAAGATTGTAAACGTTATGTGGCATTAACTTACACTTGAAATTGAAATTCAATAATAAATAATTGGTTTAAAAATTCATAAATAAAATGTTAAACATTTTGGTATTATTGTCCAAAAATGGTTAAATTAGATTTAAAATTGCAAACAATTAGGCATAACATCTATTAATGTAAACGTAAAATATAATAATTTAATTAACTAGTGACAATTTCTTAGTTGTAGTTTTGTTATAAAACTATTTACGATAAATACAAATTCAAACGTTATATTGAAATGTAAAATACAAATCATAAAGTTATAGAAAATGCTTTTAATCCATACGATAAGCAGTGATATATTGCCTCATAATTTAATTCAATCCAACATAACATGCAATCAATGATAAAAATATTTTATTACCTTTCAATTGAACAAAAGGCAAAATAATTTCTAATTAATAAAATATTCTCGTTATAAAAAGTAAGTTTAAGAGAAGTTGTAAGTGAAATAAAATGTTTACGAGAAATGTTATATTTTTATTTGTAATTCAATTATTCTGTAAAACAATATTTGCATTTCATTTGCACAATAAATCGGTTTTAACTAAAAACTACAAACAAATCGATGGATATATTGTCGGCGGAAAGGATGCAGAAGAGGGAGAATTTCCATATCAGGTGTCTCTCCAGAAGTATGGCTCCCATATATGCGGCGCTTCTATAATAAGCTCCGAATGGGTTGTGACGGCCGCCCACTGTATTGAAGGGTAATTTAGATTTTATAATTTTCATAAATATTAATATAGTTAAACTCAAATACACTATGGTATAAAGTAAATATAAATAGTCAAATTAATAATGTTTTTGTAAATTTTGATAAATAACGAATACGAGTAATCATCCGAGTTTTTCGCTCCTCTTTGGTTGAAATATGGCTAACAATTGATTTCTCGTAAACAAACAAATTTCTTTTAAAGGAATGCTAACTATTGTATTTTCAAAAGGGTTATTCTTTACATTGGCTCTGCATAAGTGAGGCACAGCTTTATAGTAAACAAATATTTGACTTTTCAATAAATTTACAAAAGAAAAATATGAATGAAATTGGATTCTAACTTACAATTTCTAACTCAAAACAAACTTTGCTGCAAATATTTTCATTGAATTTAATGGAAGATTTTTATTAAAGTAAACGCGAGTAGATCTATGTTCAGTTCATAAAGTTTTTATCTATAAACAACACTATTAAAACATTTGTATTTCTACTACAAAATACAAACTAATTCTTACGTTTAATATTTCTTAAAATATGTCAGAAATCCAACGGAAATTTTATCAATACGTTATGGGAGTATACATCACGACAGCGGCGGTGAAGTGGCCGAAGCTATTGAAACGGTAGCGCATCCGTCATATAGCGATTGGACGCTCAACAACGACATCGCTTTAATCCGCACTAAAACACCCATTAAATTGAATTCAAATACTATAAAAGCGATTCCACTGCCCGCTCAGGACTCGGATGTAACCGCTGGCCAATCGGTGGCCATAACTGGTTGGGGATATACCACAGAAGGGGTACAAATATTGGCGCCAATATTGCAGAAAATCACTCTTCCGGCTGTGGAAAGGAGTGTTTGCCGAGAAATATATAAAGAGATGTTGCTTCACTGTCTCTCATACTAAACGCGGCCATAAGGGCTTCCTCCCCAGCTGCGCACAGTCCATAAATAACGGTTTAATAATAGATAATTAAAGTCAGTTTAAGATATGTTAAATTTATGTTTATTACAAAAGGGAGACTCCGGCGGACCGGCGGTCGTGAATGGCATACTTGTAGGCGCCGTGTCGTGGGGTTACGGCGATTACTGTGCCCGACCCGAGTTGTATGGCATTTATACACGAATCGCTAAATTCAGGGATTGGATTAAAATTAAAACATTGATTTAATTACTAAAATACTTGTAGGCGCCGTGTCGTGGGGTTACGGCGATTACTGTGCCCGACCCGAGTTGTATGGCATTTATACACGAATCGCTAAATTCAGGGATTGGATTAAAATTAAAACATTGATTTAATTACTAAATTAAAAGAAATTTAAGTTTGTTTTGAACAAGAGATTTATTAATAGTGAATGACATAAAAATAAAATGTTTTATAAATCAAAATAATATTTTTTGTATAATTAAACAAAAAGAAAAATTCAATGAATGAATAAAAAGTTTGGGCATTCACATAATGATTACATAACATGTGATATAACTTTGGGTTAGTATTAGAACCTAAGCCACAGGTGGACTCTACCGGTGAATTATTTAACAGTATTTCTATTAAAATCGTAATATTATATATCTAGAATCTAGATATTCCGATTAAATAGGCAGAGTTACATTAGAACCATATTTATCACCTACTTAACAAATATTTGTATTTAACGTTTACATGGTCAATAATTTGTCCAACAATTAATATTACCAGTACTGTAAAACATAGTATAGCAACATTTTACATAAGTGGTGTAATATATGGTGGAATAATTGCGGCAGTTTTTGAGAGTATTAAAATATGTTAAATTTACTTATAATATATACTATGTGTTGCGGTAATGATTTTAAATGAAATTATTTTGCCCTATCAAATTATAATCTAGATTCTAGAATTTATACCATCTTATAAAGTTGAAAACCAAATTGAAATCACTATATCTGCTGTGATTGTCAGTCACTAGATGTAAGCTCTTTACATAATTCAGTGACAGGTTTTGACACAGAAATACAGCTAATATTTCAAATGAAAAACGTTTGGCTAAATAAAGCCCTTATGACCCCATTTGCCATTTAATCAATGCTTTTATGCAAATCTAAACTTTTATTTTGAAACATATTCTGTGGAGAACTGCTCTATATATCAGTCAATGCATTACATTTGCCTTTATTTCAGTTTGTCATTCAATTTTCAGCATTGAGTCCAAATGTTTATTCACTTAACACACTAACAGTTAGTGACTAACTTATTATAAATTTAATTTAATTATCTACCATACTCATTTACTTCAAATATTACTGATCATTTGCAAACCTCAATATCAATTTATTTTTATATTAATTGTAATTTATTTTCATCAAATGGTTTAAACTATTATTAAAATACTTATACGAATCCTATAATAGGATTAAGGTTTTTACTCTACATTCAGTATAAGCATTAGTTTTCTAATTAATTTTACTACAAAATAAACGGTAACTTTTATTACAGAACTTATAATTACATATAAAATATTATTATATTCGTGTGAAAGATTCAAAGTGACAAGGTTATTTATATTGGCAAACTAATTCTGGTTATCGATCAATTGATAATTTGGCCATTTTATACTATTTCCAACAATAAAATTAACCAAACGGCGTGTTGTCTACAGTTGCGTCGCGTACTACACCATATTGTACATTTAGCTAACGGTTACGTAACTCACGTGTAGACTTTGAGTGTATATTTTTTGGGTTCAAAAGTTTATTTGCAAATAAGTTTTGTTGCATTCAATGCATTGCTTCATACGATTAATGATGGGATGGATTGTTGTGTGCATTCATTGCAATGCATTTTTCACAGAATATTCTCTCAAAGCACTCGTTTTGCAACTTTTATTCGCAAAACTTTTTTCTCATTTCATTTTTCGCTGTTTTTTGTTCATATCTTTGATACAAATTCTTAATCAATAATTCACTTTAAATTAAATATATTTTTTCGTTATTTATTATTGAATATTATTTTTGTTATAAAAAAATTTTTAAGCAATCATTTGGCAAAAAATATTTTGGCATTTTTACGATTCAAAACTTTATTTTCAATGTTATAAACGTTTGACTATTAAAGGGATTTCTTTTTAACGAAACACTCGATTCATTTTTGGGTAAATCTCTGAGTTTAGCATAATTTTGACGAAATAATTCATTTCGTAAAATATTATGAAAATTAGTTTTATATTAAATAATATAATTTGTGATGAAAACAACATAATTCTCAGACAAATACATACTTTCCAATGAATATTGAAATTATTTCATGAATTATTCTCGAAAATTAACCAAAAAATATTGTTATTTTTCATAAAATATAACCAAAAAATATATGGAAATTATTTCCAAACGAGAGAAAAAATATTTTCGAGTAAAATATGTCTCAAAAATAGGGAGAAATTGTTTTCAAAGAATATATGTATGTCTTTAGGAGAGAGAAAAGTGTTTGAATTATTGTTTTCGAAGAGAATTTGTATTTAAGTTAAAAGTTTTGAGAAAAAAACTTTTTCTCAGATTTTGAGTCCGAGAGAAGCGAAACACAAAGTTTTTAGCGAAAAGTCTGCGAATTGTAGACGACGTCTGTATATAAGCGCTAAACCTGTATTTGAAAAGAGGGGCAAAAAGCAGACAAACAGTGAAAATGGGATGAATCGCGGCGTGAAATGCACTGAATCGGGGATTTGGGCGCTAATCGATGGCCAGAAGGGCGTCAAATCCCTATGGCTTACAATGAAAAACACTGTGAGAGAGAGAAAGGACTGCCACTAAACGGGGAGAAAACGCAGGCATTGAGAGTATTGCGCGAAATGCAGTCAAACCGGTAGGAGAGGCACATCGGGGTAATGGTTGTCGGGCTGTGGGATAGGCTGTGACCGCATGCGATGATACGCGAGAGGCGGTCGTGTTTGTGCTGACGCTTATGTGCAGTTGCATTGGCTGTTCAATGAGTGCTGTGTTATAGCAGTGGCTGTCTATGCGTTTTTGCCATTGCTTTCCCATTGCCTTCTCGTTTCAGTTAGTAATCAGTTGTTCATAGAGTGAAGACTTGTGGCAAATATGGCCGAACCGAACGACTCGAGTCTAGCCTTCTTCTCGAAGGCAACGCCGAAACAGTGGTCTTATATTTGGGCCAAATATTCAGAAGTACTCAGCCTTAAGGCCGAAGAGCGGAATCGCAAGAAGGGAGGCCCACAAGAGCTCATCAAACTTGACAATTGGTATGTATATTACATTCACATTGTATGTACTGTATGTATGTATGGCTCACTTCAAGGACAGTTTGATTGGTGTACTTCTCAATACATTGCCGACAATTGTTGTCAACTTTTTAATTGTTATGATTATGTAATTGTGATGTTTTCTCATCACTTGTGCACATCTCATGTGTGCAATGTTTGTGCCCAAACAGACAGACGGTTCATATGTTTTATTTACAGACTCTGTCTTATTATTGATTGTATGGACTCTCTCTCCCTCTCTCGCTCTCCTTCTCTCCCTCTCATAGCCTATGCTATAAAAAGGGATATCAGTGTTAATGCTATTGCTATGCGTTATATCCTATACTTCACTACACTATACACTGCTATACACTTCTCTATGCGTTTCTATGCCCTTAAGTGGGTTACATGTATTGCAGTCGAGCCCAACCACACACAGCACAGCACTGCTATATACACTCTACCCATACATATACAGCATAAACAGCATAAAACTTTATATACGTTTGCCATCAATAGACAAATGCATGAAATGCTATACAATATTCAATACAAGCGCTCATTGCATACAACACTCAACGACTCACTCCCTGTCCATAGCTTTTATAGCAGAGAAGAGAGAGAGAAAGAGAGGGATATTTAGGAGAGCAGTGTTAGGCTGTGTTAGAAGCAGTCAAACACAAGCATACCTTACATACAGAGTATTGTGAAACACCAATACATTAAAGCATGCATTTTCATGATAAGCGCGAATAGACGCCTCATCCCTAACCACCAAACACTGTCGGCGGCCCACTCTTGGCCACCGATTGTGGCCATCGGGAGAGTACTGACAACTTTAGCGATATGTTTAATACAAAATTGAATGTACAATATATGGCATACTTTGTTGTCCGCCATTTTCCAGTCACTGCTATGTCTGCCATTTGTTGGGCAAAAACACTGCAAATAATGACTCATTTCTCGTCTCATTTTAGCTGAATTTCTATCGCTTTTTCGCGATATTCCTCACAATTTCGGTCCTAATTTTGCGCACAATTAGTATTTTGGGACAATTTTTCGGTAAAATGATAGTTAATAAAAGTGTATGTTTTTTCTATACACGTATAGTATTGGAATGTACGTGTATAGGAATAAAGGCAACGCTTTTCCATAGGCAGGGATACGAGCGTTAAAATGCATTGAATAGACACTTATTGAACACGAAATGCTATGAAATAAAGTTTTTTTTGTGAATTAATCTCTGAGAAAAACACATGAGATATATATTCTGTGTGTTTGTGGTATTGCCTCAAAAACCTCACGTGTTTTAACATCATTTCATAATCTCTTGTATTTTTCCAAATACCAAATGTTTTGCGTTTTTAATTGTTTTAATTAATTATTTTTTTCTACATTTTAATTATCGTTATTTTCTGCCCTATTATTTGTTACATAGATTTCGATATAAATAATTTTTCGACGAAAATTTTAATTATTTAAATTGTTTTTATATAATAATAAGGAGAATAAGAATATTATGTAAAGAAGTGGTAAATGATATTCAATAGCATAAGTGGATAGCATTTAAAGCGAATATGAATTTATGAATTAGTAATGAATAGATAAACCATTCGCTCGTCTCATACATTGATTGTATAAATTGTTATTATTATTAATTAAATGAGATGTGAATTAAAGAATATTTAATTTATATATAACATAGCTCTATGTAAATGTTATTTATATGCATTATATTCGGTAATATAAATGCTATAAATGACTGATTTAGAAAATATTTGTGAAGATAGAAAGCCAATGAATATAATGACAATAATATGGTATTATCACAGCAATCGATGTCCACATTATATCACTTGAATGTCGAAATATTGACACAATTGTAAATATTTTGATACTTTATGTGGAAAAATATCAAATATTTTGTGTGAAAAGGCGTTAATATTTTTCGGTGTAAAATATGTGCAATATTTATATGAAATTTATTTCTGAATAATATTCATAATAATTTGCTTGCTTTGCATTTTGATGTCTTTCCCACCGAACATGTCTTCACCCAAAAGGGGTTTTTAATGATTATTTATAAATAATTCCGATTCCCTCCCGAAGTCATCCATTTTATCATATATTCTTCGCAATCAATATTTGTTCACATTTTTCAATGAGAAGTCATTTATACAAATACAGTGTCTATTGAATAGAAAATACATTCATATTTAAACACTTTTATACAAATATCTATTAATTATTATTACTGGAAAAAAATAATATTTTTAAAGATTTATTAAATATTGATTTTTTCTGTTTATATATGAAATTGTTATCTAATTTTATTTAATAAATAGTTTAATAATTGATTAAACAATTTTGGAAAATTTTGCTAAAATATTAATCAATACATTTTGTATGTGTATATGAACTGAGATTTCTTTGTTTTACGGGAATATATAGTGAAAGTCAATAGAAATACGAGAATCGTTTGGCACTGAATTCTTCATTATTTATGACAACACTATTTCTGATTATAACAAAACATTTATTATTTTTCAATTCATATAAAATCTTATAATGTTTTCATTAAATAACAAATTGGTTACTATTTTTAACATAAATATTGATATTTAATAACAATTTTATTAAATTGAATACAAATGACTTCTATATATGTGTAACTAATTATTGAGAGGCATATTAAATATGATGACAATTGAATTGATATTTTAAATCCATTTGATTCCTCAATATATCTGTAAATAAATTGTATTCTTATTGTTAGACAACTCTTCATTAGACTCTCGTATCAAATGATATGATAAGTAATGCATTGTGTGTTCAGTATTTCAGTCAATTTCAACTAATCGTTAGCAGAGATAACTGATATTTACTCAAGAATTGTAACTATCATTACATTAAATATACACAATATTTAATGTCCATAAACTGTACATTTAAATTGAATATTGTTTTAATTTATTAATTTAATATTAGACTAGTTATTAGAGTTAGTTATTTAGTTTAAAAAGACATTAATTATTATACAATGTATTGTTTTAAATGCTTTGTAATGTTAAGAAAGTGATACAAATGTGATTTATTACCACACATACAGCCCAATATCTATTTAACGTTTAATTTTTTATTTTCCTCGTCTGTAATTTTATAGCATTTAAAGGGAAAACTATTATCTATTTGTGTAATGATTTCGCAAAAAAAACATTTCCAAAGTATTTTTGTTTTTCTGAAAATACTATTCATAGAAAATCTTGTTTTGAAAATCTTATCTAAATTTCAGAGAATATTCTTTATATTTCTATCAAAAAATTTTGACATTTTGGACACAATGTTCGGGTATTTTACTAAATTTTAAGTTTTACTTTTTGTTAAATAGTTTTTTATTTAATATAAAATTTGTGTTAAATTTATATCACGTTTGATTAAAGAAATTTAGTTATCATTATATTTTTACTACCATAATGAATTAGTTTTATTTTTTAATTATCATATTGATTGAAGTTATTTTAATAATAATCACATGTATATTATGTTTATTATGATTTTCTATTTACAAATATTGTATGCCTTTTGAAATGAAGTTAAGAAAGATATGAAATGAAAGGTTTGATAGTAAAAACATCTGCTTTGAAAAAACATGATTCAAACACAACATTAATAAAAAGCGTTTTGTTTTTGTATTTTCATTGCATTTAAAGGCAATTCTCGCAACAGATTTCAGAGATTTATTGCAATGACTACAGGAATAAAAAGTTACATTTGAAAACAAATATGCGATAAACCACTTGTTGTGTGTATTGAATGGCTATTCAATGCAATGTAATATATTTCTGTTTATTTTAGCGTATTTTCTTATCCATAGCATTATGTATTGGTGACTGACTTTGCGTTTTCTCATTGCAAATACATTGTAATGATTATTGCGTAAACGTTACACACAATGAACTTGTCTTTCCTTTTTCTCTAATTGTATTGCAGTTTGATTTTCAATCCATACCATGAGATTGCAGTTGAATGACATTTTAGAGACAGTTATATGTCATTCAGGTTTTAAAACATAGGCTTTTTTGGTGGGAACAGTCGGTGCCTTACTATCTGCCGGTCCCTCACATTCTCTATTCAATACTCCAGTGTTGAACAGCTGTCGATCGGATCGACGTATTCACTGTCTGTCAGACGCCGGGCAGCCCTTCGGTCCGGGATATCAATGCATCCAATCATTCATTATATGTTTTGTAAATTTTTAAAAATGCGTTGAATATATATTTTGTCCCATTTTTTGTATTTAATTTGGGGTTTGTATGAGAATTGTAACACATTTATCACAATTTGCATTCAATTTGACTCTTGATAATTACATAATTTTGGTATAATTTCAAATTCTGTTTTATTTTTAAACAATTAAAATTAGTTGACATTAATTGTAATTTTTAAACATTTTGTATTTATTTAGTTTTGAAATTGAAAACTCATTTAACACACAATTTACTAATTCTTTTAATGGTTTTATTCAATTGGTATTATTTATCGATAGTTGAATTTTGCTTTTATTAGTTTAACTGTTTTATTCATTTTATTGTTGAATAAAAATTGATTTTAAGTATAGTTTTGGTTATTATTTAATCAAACAAATGTCTATGAAGTGAATCATTAAATTAAGTGGTTATAAAGGTTACATTAAATATAGATTTAAAGTTGAATTAAATTAAATGACTAATATCTGAATTGACGATTGTAAAAATAGGTATCAAGAGCATTTGCCTCAAAAAATTCATTCGCGTAAAGACCCTCATATAATTCACGAAGAGTTGGTCCAAATAGCTAAATGGAAATTAATGGTAATTTACTCATTGAATTGCAATCATATTTTGAAATCAGTAACTCATTTATGTTTTGATGATTTGAACAGAGAGGCAAATATCGGCCCAAACTTCTAGATTTGGTGCGAATAAACACAGAGCTGGCAGTATTAACCATCAGTAAAAAGGCGTTTAGAAAAATGTATCACCAAAAAAATCTGTCCCAAGCCATCAATGCGTTGATTACGCTGAAGGGTATCGGACCCGCCACCGCTTCCGGTAGGTTTTGGCCCAACGCTATCGGCCACTCATTCGGCTACTCTTTCCATAATATAATTGAATAGTTATTAGTCGTTAGATTGATATCATTTTACAATCAAAACACGTTTAATGTCTTTTTTATTATAAATGAATTGAAGGCAAATATTAATGATAATGTATTTGTTATGAACAGCTGTATTGTCGGCCGCATATCCAGAACAGGCGCCTTTCATGGCCGACGAGTGTATGCTCTCTACGCCTGGAGTCGAGGCCAACGACTATACGCTCGCAGAATATAACACATACAGCGAACAAATCAAGAACTGCGCCGAAAAACTTAAACAAAGTGGTAAGTTATGGTCGCAACGTGAACTCGGCTAACGACCACATGTTAATTGTTTAAATATAGACCCAACTTATTATAACACATGAATTGTATAACAGATCCCGATTTCAAATGGACGCCGCATAAAGTGGATCAGGCCCTGTGGGCCCACTACTTGGCTCGAGAGCTGAAGCCTGAGATAATAGATGGAATGCCGGCCGCAGACGGATCCGAACGGAACGTAATCAAGAATACGTCAGAAGAAGATTCAGTGGACACGACTGATATAACGTCCGCAATACCGACGCTACCCGTGTTGAACGGCAAAGCGGGCACTTCTCTGTCCGATGAGAACTCTTCTGGTCCGTCGTCCGAAGTGGAAGACAAGAGCAATGACTCGTTACATATTCCCCATAAGAAATATAAATATGGAAATGGAAACGGAAATATCGGGACTATAATGAACGGCGAGGACAGTAAGGACTTGGGCTCCGAGTGTGTGGAGAGCGAAGACTCGCGAATTATGGCGTCCGAAGAGAACAGCGTTGAAAACGGTTCGGACGTGAGTCTAGAGCCGGCATTAAAGAAGCAAAGAGTCGATGCGACCGAACTGTCGGCTGTGGCCGTCGGAGAAGACGCCCAGTTATAGGGTTTTAAGCGTTTAATTATCATTATTTTATTTTAATATTTTTTATCAAATATATAAACGACAAAAAACACATTTGTACCCCTCTTTTGGTGGCGTAGAGTTTAATACAACTACAAAATCATTTTTTGTTTTACAAATTTGAGATAAAATTTAACTTAAAATACTTTTTTCTCTTCTCATAAAATATGAAATTATCTTTTTATGATAAATGAAAGAAAATTTGATTTACATTTTAGTTATCAAATGAATTGAAATTATTAAATACAGTCTAATTGAAATTTTTTAATCTAATGTCTCAGTGATTAGGATTAAGGGATTTTGATATGAATTATGATCGAAAATATTACCAAAAACACAATATATATGAATGATAGATAAAATTCATAACAATCATCAATAAATTTAATAAAAGTTAATTTATTCATATATTTAATGTGAGAAATTAAACCAAATTAAATGTGGAAAAAGTAAATGAAATTTTTAAACATTTAATGAAATGGTAAATAAATTTGTAAAAAGATATTTAATTTAAAGATTTTAAAAGTTTTTAAATGACGGAAATTTTTAAATATACCACAAGAATAGCGTTGATTTGAATGCGAGAATCGCTTTCAATAATAAGCCGACACTTTATTACATGAATAAAGTGAATGAGAAAAACAAATGACAACAGAATATAACAAACAAATTCTCTTTCATCTCTCGATTCGCACCGTTTTTATTGACATTATTTTTTATATTTACATAATTATATAAATACATTAAAAACCATTTAAGACAACAACCAAAATACAATTTAAATAGTATTTCATTATTGAATATATTAAAAGTTAGAAAACAATTTTTGCTAAAAAACATATTTTGAAACCTCTTTAAAAAACAATTGTGAAAAATATTAAGTTATTTCCAATTCACACGTTCTGTACATCCGATTGGGTTTTCTTTGACAACAATTAATATGTATTTTGTCAACCGTTTGGCAAAATCTGTATTTAATTTTAAAGCAAAATAATAATTAAACATTTCGTAGAGTTTATTATAATTTGATTCAAACAATTATTATGAATTAAAACTTGAATTTTTGTATTGAAATATCAATTTATTTTTAATTTTTAATATAGTTTCATATTTTTGTGATTTCCTTATAATTGTCTAATCATTTAATTTAAATGAAAAATATTTTATCAATTTATAGTCAATTATAAACTACTGGATAATTGATTCAAAAGTAATGTTAAGTTTCGCATTGAATTCATTATAATTAATATTAATGAATATAACTTAAGCACTGATTCTTTAAAAAGGATTACAATTTTTAAAGAGAAACTAAAAAAATGTTAGAGTTTTTGAGTAATTTTTATATAATCTATAATTTATGAAAATAATTGTAACGATAAATTTATTTAAACACTAAATACAGTTATTTCTCTCATTTTCTCTGTTTTCCATTCAGTCCTTGAATATTATTTGTAAAACACGAATAAAAACAATTAAAAATAAAAAGTTTCAAAAGTTTGACTGTTTTTGTTCTTCATTTGCTTAATATTTTTCTCTTTAAATTGAAATTTTTGCATTAGTTTTAACTAATATCTCATTATTATTTAATTGTGTAATAGTTTTCTTATTATAATTCCAATGATTTTTTAATTAAATAATATATTTATTTAAATAATTGTTTACAAATTGAATGCACATTATATTAAATTAAGACATTGTATGAGTGTTTGAGAGGTCGTCCGGCAAATGAGTGTAATGTGAATAACTGTTAATAACTTAAGCTCTTCTGGATTTGGCTTTGTATCCATTGGAAAGACCCAAATGACCGCCATTTCCGTAAAGTCCTGGACCGCCGTCCAAACCAATGTGTCCGCCGTCGCCACCGATGACTGGACCGCCCGCTAGGGCTAGACCTCTCGCCGGTCCGCTGTGTCTTCCCTCGCCTTTGGCCACAACTGTATGCACTTCTTCGAGAACTGGTCTCACTTCTTGAGTGACACGTCTGTAGGGTTGGATCACTTCTCGCACCTCTTGGATGACAGGTCTGAGCACTTCGTGAACCACGCGATGCGGTTCGTCTTCGGACTGCGTGGACTCGACCTGACCGGGCTCTCCAGGCGTATGGAACTGCTGTACGAGCACTGGACTCGAGACTGACCTGAAGATGACTTGCACGGGCTGTTCGCTGGGCTCCACTTCAATGATTTGGGGAACCGGCGGCTCCTGTGGCAGAGAGACGGGAATCACTTCGAAGGTGCGGTGCGTTTGAATGGCGGCCGACAGCGGACCGGGCGATGACAGACCGATTGGGCCGGCGATGCCTAACCCGTGAGCGTTGCCCAACGACGTGAGTCCGTGCGCTAAACCACCGGCCAGTCCCAGACCGCCCGCACCACCACTAAAAGCAAATGCTTGTCCGCCCGCATAGCCGAGTGCACCGCCACCTCCACCGCCGCCATACGAATAGCCGGCGCTGCTGTAAGTGATGGCAAGCGATATAATGAAGAGCTGTTTGAATGAAAAATAAACGTTAGATTTGATACGAAAAAGTTTATCGATTTAACACTCACTGAACCAAACATTTTGTCAATTCTTTGAGAAATAAGAAAAATTGTGAAAATATATTAACGGATAATATTCTTAATAATAAACTGTTTGTTTGAATTGCTTTGCGATGACTGACTGACTACGAGTGCATTTGAATTGCATTTTTATATCCAGAAAGTTGTTACTAAAAAAGAGTGCAAATGATATAAAAAATTGTTTTTCAAGTAATTAGTCGATCGAAACACAACTATTTAGTGGAGGAAGTGTTGACACTAATCATAATATTGTCCGAAAAGATGCCAAATGCATGAATACTATGGTATTATACACTGTATGTATAGAAGAGATGATATTTATTTTTTATATAAATTGAATTTCATTAGATTGCGAGCTCCGGGAGCTCTGGCTAATGGAAAAACAAGTTTTATGTCGACTTTTATTACACTTTCGATTACATGAATAGTGAATTTTGAAGCATAAAAAAAGTTAATACAAAAAATTGTGTGTTTTTTTTATTTCGCGACTGAAAATGAATGGTTAGAAACAGAGATGAGTCTCGCGATTGTGTCTTGAATTAGATATAACCTGAAAATATTGTCCACAATTTGCAGACAAACATACATTTGCTTAATATATTGCTGTGAATTCCCGTTTTATTTTAATTTATATTAAATTTGTCACATTTTTTTTATAACAAACCGTTAAATACAGTACTTTTATGAAAAAATTTCCGGCAATTCCTTCAAATGATTAATTGCATGATTTGTTTATAATTTGTTGAATGCATTAATTGGTTTAATAAATTATTAGACGCGTCTCTCATTTCTTTATTTTTATCTCAATGTCTAGATTTCTAAACATTTAACTATTAATTACAATACTCTTATGTACTTTATATACAAAGTTTTAGTCAAATACAATACTATTTTGTAATATTCAAATTATTTAAATCAAATACTGTATATTCTTTATAAGACCATGGTAATTTTTGTTATTTTTATTTATTAAATCAATGAATTATTGGCATTTGGAGTGCAAAGAGTACAAAGTATAATATATTTATAATACATACAACGCGGTGCAAAATTATTGATTTTCATATGGTGTAACTTAAATAATTTTTAAAAATATAAATATTGGGTCTAGATCACTCAATTATATATTGATTTAAAGCTTAACAAAACACCTTTAAAAATATATATGCCATGATTTGCTAAAAATTTAATTAATAACTATTATTGTCAAATTTAATCATTTTAAAAGTTTAAACAATTAAAAAATCAATCAAGGTCTAAATTGGTCAATATTTTACTAATAATGTTTTCTATGCCTTGAAAAACATCATAGAACTAAACATTGTGTTTCACTAAACAATTATCCATCAAATAAATTAAAGTTAAACAACAAAAATCGGGTTTAATTAAGAAAAAAGATCAAAAGTAATTAAAAAACTTAATGTTACACTTAATATGCTATGACGCTATAACATGTAAAGCTCTGACCTTATGTTTTTAAATGACCACAGTCCCTTGTTTGAAATAACTTAGCGCCGGATTAACACCATATTAAAAATTGATTATTTGTTAAATTCAAAATATAGATATAATGACATAAGTATTCAAAATTTTAGCTCTAAATATGATCTAGATTAAAAGTTATGATAATTATAGAGAAATCAATAGTATTGCACCGCGTTGTAGCAAATCATTGATGAAAATTAACTAATATTATGTTAATTGTGGTCAAATCTGCTGGAGTATTGTAATGCAAAATTATATTACTTTCATTTAAATGAATAACCCATACATTGGGACAGTAAAGTTACAATAATTGTAAAAATTTATTCAAAAAGTTAAACAGTTTTAAAGTTATTTATTGTACTAATTAAGTAAATAATTGGATATCAAATTAAATCGTTATTAAGAATAATTAGTTGTTATGCAAAATGCAATTAAAAGAGAAAATATTATTAAAAAGTAAAATAATCTTGGCAAAAAAGCGTACGACGCCGGGTATGCCTGCGGTGGTCTCCCTCCCAAGTACTAACCCTCTCGACGCTGCTTAACTTCGGTGATCGAACGAGAACCGGTGCTTTCAGCGTGATGTGGCCGTACACATTATGGTAAGTTGATTAATTGTCATTTATAAATATACAGTTTATTTTTAAAGTTACCTACATTCATAGATTTTTGATTACTCCTCACAAATCACTGCAGGAATATAATGAACATTTTTTACTTAAACAGCATATATTTTACTCGTGCACTATATTATAGGCTTAATTATTCTTTATCTATTACTATTACCTAAGTTATTATTAGTTTGCGTTAATTTTAACACTGTTTTTATAGTTATTTCTAATTTTTAAACTTATATTCTTACGTATATTCTGCTAACGATTGAATTTTAAATGTATAAAGATTTAAATGATTTGCGTAATAACTTATTATCGATTAAATAGGCTGTGATTTTGAAATAATTATTAATTTTTGAATAAAATTATAATATTTATCGATGAAAGTGATAATAATTTCAATATATTTTACTTAATTTTACAACTTAACATGTACTCATTTGCCTACAAATATTATAATATGAACTAAATCTGCCTTTTATATTTAAATAAACTTTTTCTGACTTCAATATTAGATTTAAAACGATATGAATATTTGTTGTCAAATAAATCAGGATTTAAGCAGAGTTTGCAAATAATTTATTACACGAATAAACAGTTAGTTTTATTTAATATTTAATGTTTTTGTATTTACAGTGGATTTTATATATAAAAATCTAAAGACATAATAAAATTACATTAAAAGTGGACATCATATGAAAGGACAGACGGGTCTAAGCTCTGGCGGCTTTGGCGGCCTTTGCCCTCTTGGCGGCGGCCCTCCCATAACCGGACGCCGCGTAAGCTTTGGCCAACTTTGCGGCGCCGGAAGCTCTGCTCCCATAACCAGACAGTTGTGGTCCGTAAGCGCCGCCTCCGTTGCGAAACTTCTCGCCTTTGGCCACAACTGTATGCACTTCTTCGAGAACTGGTCTGACTTCTTGAGTGACACGTCTGTAGGGTTGGATCACTTCTCGCACCTCTTGGATGACAGGTCTGAGCACTTCGTGAACCACGCGATGCGGTTCGTCCTCCGATCGAGTGGACTCGAGTTTGCCCGGAGTTCCCGGAGTGTGGATCTGTTGCACCAAAACGGGACTCGAGACTGATCTGAAGATCACATGAACGGGTGTTTCGCTGGGCTCTACTTCAATGATTTGGGGAACCACTGGCTCTTGAGACGAGGCGACGGGTCTGATCTCAAAGGTTCGTCGCGATTGAATGGCAGCCGTCGTACGACCGGGTGTTGAGAATCCGGTCAAACCTGAGAAACCAGAGAAGAAGTTGGGGCCCAAAGCGGCGCCAAAGCCTGAGCCAAAATGCGATCCCAGACTCGATCCCTGAGCCGATGTCAATGAGGAACTTAAACCAGAGCTAAAAGTTGTGGCCAAACCAGAGGACGTATCCCCAGATACTAATCCATTGTTTACTGTATGGCCTAAACCGGCCAAAGGTGTTGATAAGGCAGAGGCGACACCAGAATTAAGCCCAGAGCTGTATCCGGAGCTAACGGCTAATCCTTGATTTCCGTAATCACTTGACGCCAAACCTTCACCGCTTGACTGATAGTCATTTGCTTTGACCAAAGAGGCCACCAGACAGACAACGATTACCTGAAAAGTAGTTTATTTATACGAAATATGCTTTAAATTCAATTTTTAGTTTTTATGGTTTTAAAGGTAAAAGTTTTTTCATATAAACAGCACTTTTATATGATATAATGTTATTTACTGAACACTCACTTTAAACATTGTATGAATTGTTAGTTAAATCAAAAAATAAAAAGTTTGAAACAATTTTTTTCTTTTTGTGATGACTTGAAGTGAAAATCAGTTACTTATATATCGGGAATGAAAGGCTGCGGATCTGTAGGACGTCTCCAAACGAGTCGTTACTAAAAGACTATAAGATTGTTATCGAATAATAATTTTGTTTTCCGGATATCTTTACATAAAAAGTTTTTGGGATAAAAAAAGTGAAACTAAATTAAGAGCGAAAGAGCGAAAATCTCTCCTTTTTTCGTATGATATGAGCGATAAGTCAGGATTTATTCGACATTTTTCTGCCACAAAATGCTAAATATTTGGTCCAAAATTATCCAAAAGCGTCGCTTCAAAACTCGTTTGTCATTAATTATTTCAAATATAACAGTGACTTATATTACTCTTACTTAACATTACAATCAGTATTTCAAAAGAATTTTATTTTTACATTTTCAAAAAGATTAGATATAATTAAAATATGCTATAATTTCCTATTAAATATATCTTATTTAAGTGTAAAGCTTTTAAAATTGCTTTAAAATTAAAGTTATTCATCAAGTTTTGCACTAAAAATATTCAAATTCTATTAATATATATAATATTAAATTTTATATACTTTTTAACGGATAATTCCACACAAAATCTTAATAATTAATTAATGAAATGAGAAAAACTCTTATTAGAGATAAATTAGAAACGATATGACATTTGACTGAATAGTTATGCTTTGAAAATGAAATCTTAAAAATTATGTGAATTTTTATATCGAAAAACATCTCAAATAAATCAGAATTAATAGAAAGCGAAACCGATCTCTCAATTCACTCTTTTTACACTAGTTTTCACTTATTTATCAAATTAGAGCAAAAAATCTGCAAAATAAAGAAGTACTCAATTTTGTTGTAAAAAATCATGAAATAATAGATTTGATGAGAAAGAGCCATAAAATTGATAACAAATTCAATTATATTTTAAAATTTAATTCTCTCTCTCTCTCTCTCTCTCTCTCTCTCTCATCAGTCACTCTGAGAATTGAATGAATACTTCCTAATAGAATAAACTAAAAGCTTTTGACTAAAGAATTAAAACTAAATCTATTTATTTGATCGCAAACTCAATTAAAATACATTTACGAAATTGAATACAAAATAGTAACAACTGTTTTTAATACTCACTTTTAAAAAACCTTTGTAAATCATTTATAACATCATAAATATTTACAAATGTAATTATCATCGTATGAAAAATTACTACAAATGTTATTAATATTTTTTTATAAATCTGCGAATTTTTGCAAAAATATTTTCATTTAACGTAATAATCAAACTATAAAGTCGTCTAAATTGGTAATAATTTCGTAAATAAAGTATTAATAAATGTATGAAAATAATAGCACTTTAAACATAAAACACATTTAAGTCAACGTTTGTAAACACTAAACACTTTAATGACTTCTTGAATGCTTTATAAACATTTTATAACAAATATTACATTAGTTTATAACAATGAATTAAATATATAATTATAATAAATGGTCGGTTAATGTCTAACAGGCGTACAAAATATTGGCTAAAATGACAATAAAAGCGCCAAAAAGAAAGGAATTGGTCGGAAAGAAGTCTGCCATCAGATAAATGCTGCAAATAGTAGACAATACTATCGATATGGATGTGGCGAACCCTTTGAGGATATTGTCCGCATATTTCATAACTAACGCCACTACTAGTCCACCAAATGCTTGCAATAGTATCACAATCCATGTCAACGTGTTATAGCCCTAAACAACAATCACATCGTTATCATCACAATTGAGACAATGAAGTAAATGAATCAATACCTGAAAGAAACCATTGGTATAAATGAGATCATAGTCTTGTATAAACATAGCTATGGATGCGATGATGACTGAGAAGAAAGCCATTTGTGTGTTCCTAATCCATAGCGACTGAGAGGTATATTTGACTAATTTTTCGAAATAAACGCCCGAAAAGCCCGAAGAGAAACACGAGGCCAACACTGCCAGCACTCCCAACAAGCGATTGCCCACCGGTTCCGCGTTTGCCATCACTTCACTCATCATATCATCAGCTTTATTGGTGGTGTCGGGCGATGCGCTTTGTGGCCATTGCACTAAAGTTACGCCAATCGTGAGTAACATCAATGAAAACCATTGATTAAGTGCTAGTCTTTTGTGTAACATTAAAACCGAGAAGAGGGCTGTCGTCAGGATTTTAAGCTGATATGTCACCTGAAGAATTGATCCATACATTAGTCACTGATGGAGAGAGAGAGAGAGAGAGAGAGAGAGAGAGAGAGCCGATACAAGACCTGATAAGTGGCGGCGTCTAAGTTAGTGAGTGCTATAAAGAGTAGATTATTTTGAATGGTGTAGAGAAGGGCCGGAACCAGGAGTTTGGCCGTGTCTTCCGGTTTGGCCACCACTTCGGTGGCCAAAAGTTGGCCCAATTTTCTCAACGACCCTAAAGATAGACAACAAATACAGTGAGAGAGTGAGGGATGAGATGATTGTGATTGTTATCATTGGACATACAATTAGACTGAAGTGTGAGTATAAGTAGTGAAACAAAAAGTTTGATCACTTCACTCAACACAATAGCAGTACTACTGATATAATTGCCGTCCATTTCATTGTAATTAATGCGAGAAAATCTTAATATCATAACCAATGTTGTCGTCTGTATTGTCAGCACTAATAGTGACAAATACTTCAGAAATAATAGTTTTGATACCATTTTCAATGTCAACACCGATTCATTCAAACCATACAAACAATCAATTCATTCATTACTTTTCATTCAAACACTTGTTTTAATACTTTCGATGAAAATGTTTTGGTTTTTCACATCAAATGAATCCCAGAATTGAAATCAATTGTTGTATTGAAAGGCAATCATATGTTTAGCCGTTTCTATAGTTTTCATAAACAATACCACTATTTGTCCGTCAAATACGACCAGTAATTACTGTATTGCAAAAGTTATGCCCAAAATATCCCCTCAAAACTTTTATTATGATCATTTAGAAAGTAAATCAAGTTATTTAATTAGATTTTTCATTCATATTTTATTAATTACATATTTTAATAGATATTTTCCGTATATTTACTAATATTTAGCGCTAAAATCAAACAAAATATTTTCTCCCATATAAGCCATGGATAGGAAACGATAAGTAAGAGTTAGAGCACTGGTTGGAGATCATCGCTGGCGTCGTTGGGCTCTTCGGTGATATCGTTGACATCGATATCGGTGTCGCTGAGCGTGTCATCAGAGTTGTCGTCGACGAGACACCAGCTCTTCTCCGGCCAAACACACTGTTCAACGTATCGATTGAACTGAAGATTGTCGGGACAGAGCTTAGGACAGGCGTACCCGTGGATGGGGTGACTGCAGTCCAAATACATGCGACAGTCGGTAGAGTTGGGAAACTTATTGCGCGAATCGAAGCAATAAAAGCCAGTGTTTTGCGGATAATCGCATTGATTGGCCGTCGGGTAGAATATGAGTCCCGCCGGACACTGGACTCGATATGAGCGGCTGTTTGAGCACATGTAGAACGAGTGGCAGTCATTCGGGTCCTGATATAAGCGGTCCGACTCTTGACAGTCAAATGTGGTCACTCTATTAGCGCCGTCACAGCCGCTGTGTTCCGGGAAATCACACACTTTTAGAGTCGGATTGAAATACAAGCCTTTCGGACACGACTTGATCGCCGGCTTATAGTTTGCGCACAATATAAATGAATTGCAATCGTGAGGATCGGGAAATATGCCCTCATTGTCCGGACACACCCTCTCCTGTGTCTCCGTTGACTCCGTTTTATTGATTAATACAATTAAGAGTAATTTAATTGCAAATCGTATTTTTGCAAACATTGTGTCAAACATATAACACCTATTTTTAACTTTAATATTGTATTATTGTTGTAACTAAAATTGTTTTAATATAAATTAATTAATTCTTGGTCTAATCTTTTATAGCATTTTTAAAATAATGCTTTTGTTTATGCGTTTTATAAACTAATTTAATGTATGAAATGCGGGTTTTGACGACTCGTTATGAGATCCCAATCGACAACTACTGCTAAGAAGTTAAGGAATTTATGTATTTTTAAAAAGTTTGTTTCATATTTTAAATCAATTTGTTTCACTGATAAGTTTTGATAAATATATTAGTAGTTTTAAGTTATGTGACACTTTTAATATCATTATTAAAATTCTATTTAATAATTAACAAAATTAAAATTCTAATCATTATTATAATAAATTATTGAACTTTTTATTTATTGTAAATGCTTTGAAATTATGTATAATTAAAGGCAATAATAATAATAATAAAAGTAAACAATAAGACATAGACAGATTTGATTGAAAATACATTATTATAACAATGATAAATGAATAATATAAGGAAAAATATTAATTATATGATCATTAAAACAGCGGATAATAATTATTTGTTACTATTTATAAACCGATTCTTACGGATCATAAAAATAACACCAATTGTGATACCAATAATCAAAGCGATTCCTGCGATTACAATGAGAGCTATAGCCCAACCGGGGAAATGGCATTTCATTGATCCGTATTTGTAATCATTGCATTGAAAGCTCTCGTAATAGCGGATCCACTCGTCTTTCTTCATCTCAATGTTTCTGTAGTCAGAGTCCGAACTCCTGAGTGAACACAGATTTTGCAGCGAATACTCCATGCATTCAAAGATATCCCAATTATAACAACACGAGTACTTCACGCGTAAACTGTCGTCGTTTGTGTACCAGTTATCCAAAGCCTTTTCCCGACACCGCCTGAAATCGGTGTCCTGTTGTAGCCGTCTCTCGCACTCATAGCCCACTTCTATCGGAAGCCTATCCCTTAGAGGTAGATATAGTATCTCTGATGACTGACTTTCACTCAAATGTACGCAAAGTATTACAATTAGTACAAAAAATGTGAAGAATTTTATCAATTTAAGCATTTTGTTACTTAATATCTTTAATAAATTTAAACTTGTTTTACATTAAAAGTTACGATGTTTTGTACAAAATTTATGTTTTACTTTATTAGTCCAATTATTTACCAATTTTTACGTTCATATTTAAAAAGTTATTTCCGTTTATTTGTTCAGTTGTATGGATGCGGGCATTGAATATTGAATTGATGCCAATTCTGTTGTGAAAAAATGCTTTTATTTTGAAACATTTTGATAACAAATTGAATTAATGTTTTTAACTCTTGAATCTCATCGATAGTTAATTTCCAAATCTCTTTATCAAAATTTTTAAAAATAACTTCACATATATTTAAACACATTTTGCAAATAACACAATAGAGTAAATATTATACATAAAAATATTTGATTTTAATTATGTCGAAATTATATGAATAAATACTTTCCATAAATAATGAATTGACAAAAACTTGTTGTTTTTCTATTGTTAAAAGTGTGAAAATATTTATTTTGCAATTTTATATGATTTGCACATTAATAATACATGTATAAAACGCCGAATTAATTTTATTCAAATGAGTATTTAATAACGTATTCAGTAAATAAAATTTGATTAAGAAATAGCAATGATGTGGAAAATGTAAAAACTTATATTTAAATATAAAAACAAAATAAGTTAAAATTAAGAATAAAGTGTACTAGAATAAAGGATTATTTTTAGCTACAGTGCACTTAAAAATATATTAAACATAGCTAAATAATTATAAAATAGAATAAAATCATTTTAAATTCAATTAACACAATTAATTGTGAAAACTCGTAGAAAATCATAAAAACTTTCAACAAACTTATAATTTTACATTATATTAAATATCAATCAACAAACAATAGTCGCTAAAAATAAATTATACAAAGTTTAAAAGTTTTTAAAACACAATTAAAATATGTGCCTAAATATGAATGACTATGTAATTACTTTACAGAGTCATGACTACAATCTGTTGTCAGTAATGTTCATTAAAATCTACCTGAAATGACTACCTGTGCGCAGGTGTTCATAATCACAGACCCGTAAAACTTTTTTCAAACGATCTCTCGTTTCCACTCAACAAAAAAGTTAATTTACGTTTTGTTTGACTATATTTTTGCCGTTCACTTCACTTCACTTTATTTTTCTCGTTCTCATAGAAATGGGTGTGAATTCGTAAACAACACACAAAAAAGTGATTCAAACAAAAGGTTTAATAATAATTTTATTGATATAAAAAAGTTTGTTGAGATAATTGTGGTCTTACACTAAGTTTTTGGTCAAATGATAGCAGAATTCGTATGAAATCCCTTATAGTGTATACGTTTAGTGAATGAAATTCAAACAACGCTTTGACAAAAATCCAAAGGATAAGGAATATTACAATTGAATTGTGAATATAAGTGAAGGACGAGTGGAAAAAGCGTGGAAAATATGCCCATTTTTGGGGGTCGAAAGCCGTCGAAATCGCCGGATCTGTCCATAAACGGTGGCGTTAGGAATGAAAACTTAACCAAACTATCAAACAATCGCATCGATAATAATAACGGCGATAAGAGTACTGACAATAAGACTACGGGTAGTAATAATAATGTTAATCATAGTAACGGCACTAACGGGAGTCGACCCCCGAAGTTAGTATTCCAGTGCCAATTAGCTGAAGGCAGTCATACGGCACTCGTATCCAACTTCTCAAACATTAAGGAATTATACGAAAAAATTGGCGAAAATTTCAATATCCCTGCCTCTGAAGTGAGTCCTTAATTGCCATTTGTTTTGTCACTTACTTTACATCCTATTATACGAGTTATTCATTCAATCGCTTTGTATTCATGGAAATGAGAGAAATTGAGTTTGAGTTTGAGATAAACTCATTTGTTTATTACTCCTTATGACTGAAATCATATAATAGACTGATTTATGGCTATTATCTTATCTATTATCTCGTAGTAATAACTTTCTCGTTATTACGGGTATTGAAGTTTTTATGTTAAGATTTACTTAAGTTTGATCTAACGGTAAATATTGATACTCGACTTCTTGTCTTAATCGACATGTTTTTCAATCAATGAAATGCAAAATTTATAATAAATAAATCTTGGTTTAAATCTTGATAATAAAAATAGCAATAATAAAGTATATAGATTTCATTAGTTAATAAAAACGACCTTTTAAATCATTAAATTTAATACAATTAAAGCATGTTTATAATAACTTTATAGGGAATGATGGTTTTAATCAACCTTGTTGATTTGTTGCCATTGTATTTATTATAACAATTGCTAAATATTGTGAGTTTTTCACAATGAAATCAAAAATATTTTTAATTGAATTTATTTATTGATAGGTTTTAATAACTATTCTTCTAAAAGAGTGTTTAACCATATCTTTAATTGTTATAACATTTTGAGTTTTGTATTTCAAAAAGATAGCACTTCTATGAGTCAAACCAGGATTTGAGACAAAGACTCGTAACACACAAAACGAAACCATAATTAAATTGTTTTTTTGTTTACACGACTAAAAAACTAGTCAATTAATAAAATCAGATAATGCTTTCCATACGTTAGAGGCATTTGTATTACATTTTTTTGTTGCATTTATTTCAAGTAATTCTCATACTATTAAACGAAATAAAACTCCGAAACGTTAGTACAGTATAAGACACGAAGCATATTATAATACAGGCATAAGTCTGTATATAACGGTTGAACCACTTTTGGTGAATCAATTGTTATTTAAAGAAATAAGTTATATAATAATTCATACAATTTAAAGTGACATTAATCATTAGATGTCATAATTATTTCATTAAAGAGTCTTAAAATTTAGAGCAACATGTATTTTGTTGGACCCTTTTATACAACAAATAAATGGCTAACCATTTATTTA